CCGATCCTTTGTTTTCCTTAAGATCAAGACTGCCCACTCGCAAACAAAGGGAACGCTTTTGCTTGCAGGAAACACCTCTGAGAGTGGGAGAGTATTGCGTTCTGAAGGCTCAGAGAGACTGGCCAAGTTCTCTTCAAGCTTCTGCCGGTTTGACTGGCTTCTGACTTGGGAAGCTTTTGCTACAGGACACCATTTTTGTTGTGTGCCAAATATCCTACATATCTACTCACTAGACCTTGTAAATCACCCAGAGGCTTGCAAGGTAGATATTTTCCCATTTTAAAGATGAGGAGGCTCACACTCAGAGAATTTGGTAAATTGCCTGAGATCACCCTGGTTGTAAGTGGCGGAGCAGGGATCAAGCCCAGATCTGTCGCATTCCAAAGACATTATTTTTTCCAGTATACCGGCCTGTTCTCACATTCCTGAACCTTCCACCCCTTTTCACCCATTACTTGCTATATGCCAATAAAGGCAGTGAAGGTATGCAGGGCTTTATTTCCACCCCTCAGGCTTGAGTTTCTCCAGATTTATAGTGTGGGGGAAGAGGCCCCGAAAGATCAGGTAATGTGCTAGTGCTGCTAAGGGAACCCAGGCGCCCTCCACAACACACTCCTTCAATGGGGCATCCCCTCCATTCAGAAAGCCCCTCCAGACAACTTGGAACTGAACTGACTTGTTAGTTCTCTGAAGTGTTCTCCATCCAGGAGGATTCGTACTGACCGAACTGGCTACTGCCTCACTTACTATAATAAGTATAATGTGAAACTTCCTCCACATAGAAAAATGTCCACAGTCCTGTGTTCTGTGATCCAAGCTCCCCTCTACCCAGTGTTCTTGCCCACCACACAGCCCTGTAATGCTTCTGCTGTGGTCCCCTGGTCCTCTCCTCCTCCACTCTGGCCATTCCCGGATCTTCCCTCTGTTTGGCCTTCCTGCTCCTGTCCCTTCCTTCCCAGTGTGGTCCTCTCTAACACCCTGCTAGAAACCTGTCTTCCAAGCTGCCCCCTCACCCCCCCTGCCCCTGGGCAGCGCCTTTCTACCTGTGACACTGGTATAACCACTTCTGCTGTCCCCACCACTCCTCCCAGCCTCAGGTGGTGGAAGTCACACCTGGAACAATGAGGAGGAAGACCCAGCTTAATCAGTATGGCTTCCCTCAGCTGCCTCAAGGGAGATGCTTGGGGAATGACCCTCACACTGGCTACTGTGTTGCCCTCAGTATTATATAAAGGTTTTAACAGCATCACAGCAGGAGGCAGAGGTAGGTGGATCTCTGAGTTCAAGGCCAGCCTGGTCTATAGAGTTCCAAGACTGTCAGGGCTACACACACACACACACACACACACACACACACACACACACACGCACGCACAAAAACCCTGCCTAGAAAACCGAAACAAAATCAAAGATTATTTTAGCTTGAGTAATTTTATTCTTTTCATAAATCCTCATTAGTCATCCTTCAAATTGGGGCCATCACAGTGTTTGTAAATTTGTATGTAGCTAGTTCAAGTTTTTAGGACTGTAATATAAGCTGACCAATGCCAGCCTCTCTTTCTCAACCAGAAACACTGCATTGGTCCTCTTCCTTCTAATCATCTACATTTAGTACCTTGCCCATGAATTCTTTTAAATTAAAAACTTATGATGTTTTAGAGACTTTGCCCAGCTTTTAAGTGCCAGGGATTTTTGCATTTGAATATATTTTAATTTATTTAAGGATTTTTTTAATCAAATGCTTCCCTAATTTAGCCAGCTTTCTTTTTTAATACTCCCAAGCCAGGAATTTGTTTATTGTGACTAAATTCTTTTTTAAATAGCACTTAAACCAGTACTAAATGCTATTTATGGCACTCTCCCTTGCTAGATTTCTTTCTGCATCTCAAAAGCATATGCTTCCTTCTTCCATGTCTCGTGCAGTTAACATTTCCTCACTGTGGGATTCTGTGCCAGTCAGTCACCAAGCGTACTATGACCACCTCTAAGTGGCCAGCCCTTAGTGGGGGCAACACGCAAGCAGCCCAGCTGAGAAGCGAAGTGTACGGACCCAGAAGATGAAGGCAATGGGACTTGAGCTGTCTCTCTCAGGGTAGAAGCAGAAAGATGGTGGAAATGGGGGTGTCGGAGCATCAGGGAGCAGGAGAGTCAGACTTGAGCACACAGCCAACCTCTGCAAAGCGTGGACCCTCGGTTCTAGCATGGCGCCTGGATCAGGGAATATGGTCACTGAGGGAGGAGAAGGGTTCCCTGCTCAGAATCCCTTAGTCCCAGCTTCAGCTGCTGCTGTTCTGTGACCCTCCTGAGAACCTGAGTGAGGGAGCCCTACTCGGGAGCTCAGGTTGGAAGCATGCCAAGGTCTAGAACCGAGACCATTTCTTGCCACCCTGAGCTGGGTGAGAGTGAGACTAGACAGACTCAGAAAAACAAGAAAGCCTGTGAGGGAAGAGCTACTTGGCCTGTGTTCTTCCCGGGGTCAGCATCTTCTTCCCTCAGCTTTGCTTGACCCCTTCCATCTCTGCGTATTAAGGGCAGGGAAGTAGGGATAGAAGCAAGACTGATGAAAAACAAATAAGTTAAGGCTTCTCTGGCAAAAGGTTAAAGACTGGGCTACCTCTGCAGCCATGCAAGGGTGTCACTGGCTTCTCTTTCTATAGACTATCCCCAGACTCCAATTCTGATTCATCTTTACCCTTCTCCAACCAGCTCAAAGTCCATCCCCTCTGCAGAACTCTAACCTCAGGCGGAGATCCCCTCTCCCGCTCTGTGCGCCTCGTGTGAATTCAGGGGTTCCTTCCCTTCCTCAGATCTTCTTTGCAGAGCCTGGGCATGTCCATGGCACCCTCGTTCTTTCTGTAGTCTACCAGCTTTGAGTTTGTTTTATTTCCTGAAAACTGTTGAGCTTCCCTAACCCTTGGTTTATAAAAACCTACTTGTACACTTTAAAGAGTAGTAAAACCTGGCAGGAGCCATGCCAGCAGCTTTGAAGCCCTGTGTTGCCTCTCCCGGCAACAGCTGCTAACCTGAACTTTGTATTAACTGTTCCTGTAGTTACCATATCAACTTCGTATCCATAAACACTGTAATGCTCATATAAACACAATATGCAGCATATCACTTTTTTACAGATTTCGAACTTCACATAAATGGAAGTATACTGATTTCTGCCTCTGTGAATGTTGATATCCTAGCCCACGGTGCAGATCAGCGACAGGACATGCATATCATGAGTAAGGTCCTGGGCTCAATCCCCAGCACCAAGAAAAAAAAGTGAATTTCTTGCTCCTTAAAAGCTTTGAAAAAATTATTATCTAAAGCATGAACAGTTATACAAAGAGTATAGAACATATATACCCATGTACTGTCTTTGTCAAATATTGATATATTGCTGTAATTGCTTCTGAATCTTTAAAGAACCAGCACAATGATTGTCCCCCATCTTTGACCTCTCTCACGTCTCCTTAACTCCCCACAGTAATCACTGCCCTGAACCTAGTGCTTGTCTGTTTTGTTCAGATTTGTGTGCTTTACTACATAGACACAAGCCGTACATAATCATGCGTGCATGTTTTGAATTTTAGAAGTCTGTATTAATGTATTCATTTTAGCTTGCTTTGTTTACTGAATAGTGTCTTTGAACGTTGTGCATGTTTGCATCTGAAGCCCTAGTTCACTCCTTTTAAACTGTTGTGCGGTACCCTATGGGAAGATCATACCACTGTATATTTACCCTGTCTCCTGCTGGTCTCCATTTAAGATAGCACCGTCATCATCAATGATGTTGTAACAGGGAGACACCTATTAGATTCTGATGCTTGCGTGGCAGTGTCTTGGGTGGAACTGCGGAGCTGTGGTGTATGTGCGTCTTCTCTTTAGTTCCAGCAGAGGCTTTCTATTCCAGCATTACCGAATGGACACTTGGTGTTGCATGCCTTGGGCAATCCCTGGGTTGCTGACTTTATGTGAACCCAGTAGTTCCTTTCATTCAGCGAGCAAGTACTGAGTACCTCTCATCTGCCACACACCTGTGATAAGTGCTAAGAACACAAAATAACTAATCCTCGGCCCCTGTCCTAAGAGATCTTTCAGACATCTGTAGTAATTTCTGCCTGAGGGGACATAAAAATGTCTACAGTGGCAAGTTCTATAGTGGTGTCATTGTTGACTTACAGTTGTAAATTTCTGTTCTCGTGGGAAGAAAAGTTCAGTATTGATAGATCCACTCTAAGTTTGCTTAAGTGGGCAGGTGAGAGGACCATGGTTCTTTGTGGCTAGCTATTTGGGTAGACAGCAGTAGAGTCTCAGTGATAGGTGTTAGCTCCATCTTACTCTTTGAAATCAAACACATGTACAGGATGAAATAATTGATCCTGGGACGGAGTTGGCTTTAGGAAAGTGTTGGCTAGAAAATAGAATGATAAATGGAGAGAATCTGTAGTAATGGGTGGATATTGGGCCACAACAGTGGCCCTGGAAACCTCAATGTGCCACATTGCTCTTTACGTCGGTTTTGGGAGTAGGGACCTCTAGGTAGCAGACTTACTATTGGGAAATAGTAAGTAAGGTCTTCCTTAACTCTTAAGACATCTTGTTTAATGTTCTTTAGAGTGTTCCATGAGAGCAAAACTAAATTCATCTCAGTATATTTATTGAGATGTGAAAATGTTTAAAAGTTTATTACTCTTATTTAGCAAATGAGAAGAAGTGAAATATTTTGCCTGTGACATCACTAATAAATTGTGGGTCATTTTTGTCTGATAGCAAGGGAGTATAATTCTGTCTCCTTTCTGAACAGGATATGTAGCAAATCTTAGCAAGCTTTGTGCTTCAGTTTGGTGACATTCAAACCACAAAGTAGCCTGTTTACACCATCAAATCACACACACACACACACACACACACACACACTGGACACTTAAAACCAGTAAAAGTACAACTTGTTTAACAAAATCTAGCTAATAATTTTCCCTTGTTACTTAACAGGGTAATGACCAGGGAAGACACCTTAAAGAGGGCTACTTCTGAATTGGAAAACTTTACTTTTGTTTGTGGTTAGATTGTGGTTAGCTTTCCAGTGGTTGGAGTGCATGTGTCTTAAAGGTTTCATATTTGTTAATATGATGGAGGTAGATGGTAACTACATGACAGCCTTGCCATATTGGCTGGAGAAGAGCCTGAGAATGAGATGTGTGTGAACTTCTGTCAAGAGTCAACTTCAGACCCCGTGTGGTGGCATACTCTTGTATGCCTAGAGGCAAGAGGACTGTTGCAAGTTCAAGGTCAGCCTGGGCTACACGGCCAGTTCTAGGCCAGCCAGGACTGCACAGTGGGACTGTCGTCATTGGAGGGTTAACACAGAGTTAAAACTATCTCATAAAGCCACTCAAGTAACTGAGAACCCAGCCCTGGGAGCCCAACCCTAACCACCAGTAACTGGGACTGGGAGGGTCTTCCCTACTAACTGAGAACATGGGGGCAGGCAGAGGAATATATAGCTAGTAGGGCTGAAGAAATGAAGTAATGGCTTGTGGATAATGGTGAAAATATTTGATGATGTGACTCCGGGGAAGCAATTATGGTTAACCCCTCATTTGTTTGGCATTTTCAAGGATTGAACTGTCCCACAAAACCAAATTTTCCAGACAGCTAAAACTTTCCTATTTATGTCTCTTGAATGTTTTTAACCATGCTTATTGGAGATGTTTCTGAAGTAGATTATTCCATTTTTCTTCCTTCTTAAACTGAGAAACTATAAGAAATATTGTTTCCTTGGATACCTTTGACTCTAAACACGAGAAAACCCGATCAAGTGAGGTCAAAATAGTGAAGACTTGTAATTGCCTCAGAAAACAAGAAACCCCAGAGATGATAAAGTCAGTCGCTCAACGATACCAAGCTAATCTCCTCACAGACACTAGCTAGGGGCCACAGCTCCAAGACTCAGGACTTCACGTGGTAAATCAAAGACTAGAATGAAATGGGGGCTTCTGCCTCCACATGTCTCTAACCAGAGAGGAAAATATTTCTCAGAAAAGCCCTTGCCAATTTCCCGTCAGATCCCACTGGCAACAGTGAGTCAGATTTCCATGCTTTGGGGGAGTGAGTACAGCTCACTTGTAGAGTGCTTGTCTAACTTGTGTGAGGCCCGGGTTCTAATCCATAGTGCCACCCACAGCAGTCACATGCCTTGGCTTCTGGGAGTCTAAGAGAATCAAGCACTTACAAACTGGGAAGAGAAGGGAGCTCTGCTCATGGAAGAAAAAAGATAAAGGCTGTGAGGTAGCAATTAAGGGTGGTTACATCTTCAAGATTCAGGGTGAGGGGTCCCTGACTGTAGTAGTCTGAGGGTGACTTGAATGGCGCAGCATTCTGTGCTCCTACACTAAGTGGCCTCAGGCTAGGATCTTCCCCTGCTGTTTTCATTTATTATTTATTCTACTGTCCTTCCCCAAGCCAGACTGCTGATCATCAGTACCTGCTACTAAAGCACTTTTGTCATTAGCTTGCTGTGATTATGATGTTTTCTTTTATTTCTGAGGATGAAAAATCCTATAACCAAAGTTGTTAGAACTCTGCCTAAAATACTGAGAGTCAGTCAGGCTGCCCTGTGTATTCAGTGCATGGGGTAGAGTTTCTCTTGGCTGTTCTAGGGCCATTTTTCCATGGTTGGTAGATTTGAAGAAATGAGAGCTTCCTGTTGAGCTTTGTATCTGAAATACCCTTTTCCTGGAGTCTTATTATGGTGAAAGCACAGCTACACACTGTACCTTACAGCGGTGCAGAGAGAGGCAGCGTACTTTATCTGCATTCAGATTCCTTTCATGCTGCCCACAGGCTGCTCCTGAACTACAGCTAACTGCGTGGCAGTGACCACTAGGGCCCATCATGCAGCAGCTATCTAGAGCGTGGCTTCATTGCTCCTGTCTTCTCTCAGGTGGCCAAAGCCCCGTGGACTAGACCCAAGAAAGACCCAGCTTGTGTAGAAGTGCTCTGTATGACTTATCTGAACAAGCTCCTAAAGAAAGAACCTTAAGAGCTATTCAGGTAGACTGAGCCAGTGAAAGCCATCCCTTCTATTCTCAGAGAGCTGGTGAAAGCGCACCGGAAGAAGGAAGCAGGGAGCTGCTGTCAGAGTAGGATTGACAATAAGCAGTGGATATTGCGCTCAAGGCTCAGGCATGTGCCAGTCAGTGCCAAGACAGCAAGTGGTTAAAGTGTTCATAGTGCAACTATGATACCACATTGCGTAGATCTGCAAAGTTCCTTAAGAACAAGTTAGCTCTTTGAAGACCTAAATTAATTCTTTCTCATCAGTTAACCTTTAAGTAAAAGTTAAGTGGCAGAAACATTTGGAGATAAGGAAAACACGTTTTTGTTTTTGCTAACTTCTGACTAATTTGAACCATTCAGATCTTATAAGAAAAATGCAAAGTGTTTCTGAAATACTTCAGTTATTACATCATCCTATACACAAAGTAGTCTTTAAAGAAGCCACCCTTTTAACTACTGACTATTTTAAACAGGATATAACTTACTTGAGCAAGGTATCTATAGCTTTAAATGTTTATGTTCTCATATGTGAGTTAAATTTTATCTCTGAAATCCTTTGAGAGTTCCTGTTCCTCTATAATCCAGTTGCTGTATGCACACAGAAACTTTTCAGATTTGAACATTGGCTACAACGACACTGTTACACAAATCTCCACAGAGAAAGAAACATGTAATACATGCTTTAGGGGCTCGTGGGTGTACACCAGCATGTAGCTTTCTGATATTTAAATGAAAACAAAAATCAGTATCTCACTTCACGAGTGAGCAGATATTCACAGGTTTATTGTTTCTGCTGCTAATGGGCATCTGAGTTAAAGAAGATGGTTCAAAACTAGGTGAACAAGTATTTCTCAACATATCAAATACTAATTCCAGTGATCCTTTTCTTCTACAAAACAAAATAATGGAAGAAATAGAAAGCATTCCAGCCAGACGCAGTGATGCTTGCCTGGAGTCCTGAATACTTTGGAATCTGGGGCCAAAAGATGGTATAAGCCCAGGAGTTTGGCACCAGCCAAAGCGCTATTCCTGGTCCTGGAAACTTTTCTCTTTATGGGAAACTGGAGAATGGCTCAGTCTGTAAAGTGCTCGAAAGAAGACCTGAGTTTGAGCCATAGGAAAGCCGAGCGTGATGGCATGTGCTTATGATCCCAGCACTGGGGAAGCAGAGCCCCAAGGATGCTCAGGGCCTACCAGCCAGCTAGTCTACTTGCTGAGTTCCAGGCCACTTGAGATACCCTTTCTCAAAAAAGGTGGGTGGTGTTCCTAAGGATGACACCTTGAAGCACTGACACACTTATATACCCCCACACACACAATTCTTTGTTTTTAAAAAAAATGTATTCTAAAGCCCCCAAAAGCCAGTAGCTTGAACATCACATAGCCTGTAGTAGTGTCTATACTACTGTTGATACTGAGTGATGGCTGTTTGTAAATGCTTGCATTGAGTTCTACTACTTGCAATTACTATTTTTATAGGTAGGCTAGCATATTAAATACTTTTCTGTTATTAATGATTGCTTTGGAGCTTAATCTGAATGTTGTTTTCTATCTGAAAAATCTAATGTAATACAGCAACTGCAACTGAAATCAAAGGAATATATACATGATCAGGCAACTGTTTCTAAAAACTTAGAGGGAATTAAATGAGTATCAGAGGATATAAAAAGGTTAGAAAGCAGCATTTGTTCAAAGTAGCTGAAGAGGTTACAGACCAAGCTTTGTTATATGAAAGAAGCCAAAAGAATTTTCTGAATTGAGTTATTTGTATTCTGATTGCTCTTTTTCATTGTTCTATGTGTTATAAGCTCTGCTTTGGTAAAAATAGACATGTATGGAGGCTGTCTTATTGTGACACAGAGAAATGTGACTAAAAAGTGGACATTCTCAGTCTTGCCCCTTTTCTTTGGTGGCGATGTGAGTCACCATAGAAACTCCCTGTGTCCTGAGTCAGGCAGCCTCAGAAGTCTGAGAGAGCCTACCCGTGGCAAGGGTTTTGTTGTTGTTGTTGTTGTTGCTGCTGCTGCTGCTGCTATTGTTGTTGTTGCGTTTTTTGTTTTTGTTTTTGCTTTTTTTAGCCTTACCGTGAACCTAACTTTTCCTTCAAGAAGTCACATATGGGGAAAGCACTTGTCCAGGTTCAGCATTGCCAAGGGAGTGATAAATTCCACACCGTCCAGTACATGTTCCTTTAATATATGTATTTTGTACAGCTAAAGTTGTCATCCTTGTTTATTTTTTACAGTGAAGGCTTGGGCTTACTAAATTGTAATTGCAACGCAGTTATAAGCAACTTACATGAGTATTCTTCAGTGCAGGGGAAGCAGTGTCGCACAGTAGGGGCTGTGGCTCTAGGCCTGTCTCCTGTTGCTGCCTGTCTCTGAGAAAGTCAATAAACTCCATGCACTTTCTAGTTTACTCATCTGTTAACATTAACGTCCCCTTCATGAAGTTTTATGTAACGGAGTATCTAAAACTTACTCAGAAAAGCCAGAAAATTCTATACATACTGTTACGGCATTTGTCAGTGTGCCTCTTCTTTGTACTAGAAACGGTAGCATTTAGACAAACATTGTCTGCCTCAAAGGATGTTGCAGAAGTCTGTTTCTGGGGATGGTTTGCCTCCAGTAAAACTAAAAAGTGATTTTATTTTTAAAAATTGACTTACCCCCCCCCAAAAAAATGCTAAAGCGTGTACTACTCACACGCAGGGAGGTGTAGACTGAGCCCTGCCGCTCCAGCAAGCAGCCTGCGTGCAGATTGGCCCCTGTTATGGCCCATTAAGGAGCTCCCTCTGATTTAGGAGATATAAATATATGTGGTAACATGTGGGAAAATGGAAAGTGCTGAGTATGGAGATTCACTGCTTGATTGGAAGCAGAATGATAATTTTATTTTTCTGGTTGTCTAGTTGGCGAATCCTATGAAGTACAGAGATTACTAAATGCCTTCTTTGTCCCTTTTCCAAGTTTGTTCTTGAAAACCACCTTCCATCCTGCCCCCCTCCAACAAATTACAGATGAGGAAGGCACTGTCCCACCCTTGAAGAGCTATGGCATAATTGAAACTTGGCGCAGCTATGGGCTGGCTCTGCAGTGGCTGTTGGGCAAGGCCAGAACCTAGGACATCAGACTGTGGGATGTACGCCATCCTGGCTGACTCTTCCATGTGCATTCTGTGGTGGGCTTTCAGTGCGTTCACAGATGTTTCAGGGTGATGACACTGGACTCCATACATGACCTACCTCCTGGAGACAGGCGCGATGTCCTAGATTCCTTGGTCCCTCGCTCCATAGCTTTGATCTCAAGCAATATTGTTGTTCCAAGCTTCATGTACCCAACATTCTGACTTAGCCAAAAAGGTGTCTCAACTTTTAACTGTCTAACTCTTTCTTTCCCTTTTTCTGCATTTCCAGTTGACCTGCCCCTGTTTTTTCCTCGCGATCAGCCGACTCTCACGTTTCAGTCCGTCTATCATTTTACCAACAGTGGACAACTTTACTCCCAAGCACAAAAGAATTACCCCTACAGCCCCAGATGGGATGGAAATGAAATGGCCAAGAGAGCAAAGTAAGTAGACCTGCTGTGATTTCCTCGGAGAAGAACAGTGTGTGTATCCAGTCCAGGGTTCAGCTAGCCACTGCTCAGTAGGCTAAATCCCGCCCTGGGCTTATTTTTTCAAGTGTTATGAAAACGGCTGTCTTCATGCCGTGAGGCAGAGTTAGTGGCCACAACAGAATACCAGAAGTCAGTTATCTCCAGTTTAGACTTAAACAGCAGTCCCTTCTGTCATCTCTCACAGGGAAGCTGACATGGATCTCATGTCCCCTCGTCCTCTCTGCTGAACTCTGGGACTGGCTATGAGTGGCATTTTTGGTAAAGGGGTTGTAGGATATATAAGAACTCTACCTTTCTATTCAGATTAGAGAACTACTAAATAGCAAGTTGAGTTGTAGGTAAATAATCTCAATAATAAAAATGCTGGCAGCTACTTGTATATATTTAAAATGGGAGGATTCAAATGTTGATAAACAGACTTCCTATTGAGTAGTCGGTATGTAGATTCAGCAGCTACTTTTTCATGGGAGGCTGCAACTCTTGAATTTTGTTACGCTTCTCATGTGTGTTGCATGGGTGTGTCTTGGTTCCATGCTCCTTATATCTATCTGCTAACACCGCTATGGAAGTAGTGGCTTTGATGGTGGCGCTGTGAATGCAGTGGCTCAGTGAGCTTGAAGTCAGCAGGCCTTCTCAGTTGAATGTGGATGGCTGTCACTTCAGTCGTAAGGATCAAGTTGGTACAGAAACAGGCTGACTGCTCTTGGTAGATAAGACTTTATTGTCTAGAACAACAGTCTGTAGATTATTGCCTCCTATACTGGAGCAACAGTGGATTGAAATGGTAGTTTCCAAAACTAAATCATGGTGCGGCACGGTTATCACTCGGGACAGCCGCATGTACACGCCTGTGATCCCGACTAAGGATGTGCAGAGCCAAAGAATCATGGAAATGAAAGTCGTCTAGTAAGCGTCTTCCTCACTTGCTCATCCAGTACTTATTGTCTACCATGATCCAGGCACTGTGTGAGCATTGAGGATGGCATGATAAACAAACTGGAAAGTGTCCATGGCCTCATGCAGCCCAGCAAGGAGATGAATCATAGCAGATGTCTGACAGCTTCAGAGTACCTGCTAACAAAGGCTGGCCCTCCAGGCCTAGAAACTTGCTGATTATTAAGACTCCTTGTTCTTGCCTTCCATTTCCTGATACGTATTTCCTTCCCAGGGAACCCTTCCCTCATCTCCCATCGTCTCTATATACAGAACCTTCATGTATGGTCGGCTCAGAGTCTGACAATAGAGCGCCCTTTTCCAGCACTCCAAACACCCAGAATTCCTGTGTGAGCCCAGAGTTGTAATCTGAAACTTGTGTGCCCTTCTCCCTGTATTTTCCCATTATATCCAGAACACTGGTCTGAAATTCTATTTAAGGGGTAAACAAACATATGCAAATGTAACTAGTAACAGCTATTAAGACCTGTGCTGAAACGCAGTGGAACAAAGCAGACATAAAGCAGAGTTTCTGTTTGAAGTCTTGCGTTGTTTAGTTGTCTGAGCTTTCCCTGTGTATACACAGGATCTGCCCTTAGAAGATGGGCCATTATTTGTGGTATGACTCCAGAGTCTGAACCAGACATGTCTTTGTGGTTTCCATGGCAAAGCTGTCGTGGTGTGCGTGTGTGTACTTCTTAAGCAGGCATTTTAGCATGTATGAATTGAGTCTTTAAGGAGCTGCAGACCACGAGCCTGTGATTTCAGTGTAGGAATATCCTAAGTGAAGCCTGTTTGTCTTAACAGATTGGTTCAGACTTTCAAGACACATTTGCTTTATGTTAGCACCAGTCTAAAGAAAACATCTGAAGTCGTGTTAAAGGAATCTGCTTTCTCCTTCAGTGAAGATGAATCCATTTTAGATGCAATAAGAGAGACAGCCAACAGCTTGTGTTAGCTAGAAGAAATCATTTAAAGGCCCCATTCATTCTTTAACCGAACGATCGCACAGGACTGCGTCAAAGGCCAGGTGATGGGTAGACATAAGCAGGAATTGTCTTGTAGTCCTGTCTGGAAACTGGTGGAAGGCATGGAGTCAAATGTCAAACAAAAGAAAGGTCGGCTGAAACATTCCTTGCATGCCCCGTGTCTGTATCCTGTGAAGATACTGTACACAGTACGTAAAAGACTATAATTCACTTGGGGAGCTCTGCCCACGACATAAACACTCTCATGTTTAGAACGGCCCCAAAGCCCTTTGAGTGGAATCAGCTGTTTATCCTGTCTGTTAAGAGCACAGTTCTGAGCATTGCATTAAGAAAGGACGGATACTTCCTGGCACTGAGAAGCCAGGGCTTTTCCTACCACAGTGCTTCTTGCTGAAGTCCATCCAGCCAGTTCTGCCCTTAACAACTACAATACCCCAAAGTGAGTAGGCTCTGGGTTATGCATGCCCCAGTTCCGACCACAGAGTTTAATCCTTTAGGCCCCGTAGCCTTGGGTAGACTGCATACTCTCTCTGAACTCCATCTTTTAAGACAGGGTTGTACTCCCCACTGCTAAGTGGACTCGCGAGGAAGGGGCGATCAGTGAGATACAGTGAGCAGTGGAAGTTCCCTTCTGCTCCGTACCTAGTGCCTGTGCTCCCAGCTCCAATCCACATCCTCCTGCCTTTCCCCTGTGGGTGGCTCATACAATCCAGGCAGCCCTTTGCCACCTTCTTCCCAGTTCTGTGCTCTGCTCACATGTTTTCCCAGAATCTCTTTTGTGCTATATTTAGTTTTCAGATCTTTATATATGTCTCTTTTCTTAACCAAATGGTGAGATCTTTAAAGGCAAAAGCTTGCCATAATTATCTTTTTTATTGTAGTATAATTTACAGTACTGTGGACAGCTTTTTACGTAAAGACTGTCTCCATCTTACAATGACTCAGCTTATAATTTTTGAACTGTGTAGTCGTCTGAAAGCAATATGCATTCAGTAGATTCCATATTTGAATTTGAACTGTGAGTACAGTGCTCTATGCTGTTCCAGAAAGCAGTGGCAAACCACAGCTCCTAGGGAGGAAGACAGTAGTCTATGGAGTGCTATTTTACTTATGTCTTCTCAATATATTAGTCCTCCTGCCATTGTGGAATGTCTGTATTCGTCAACGTTGAAATGGTTGTACCAGATTTTTTCTACATATTTTTATGCTGCCTTTCTTCATCCTGTTTGTTTTATTTCATCTCTATCTGTATGTCCTGAAACCATTTTTAAATCTAGCCTGATGGTCTGTGTCCTTTAATAGAATTATTTGGTTTGTGTATACTTAATATAACAAATGAGCTCATTAAGTTTAAGTCCTACATCTTGCTATATATTTTTTTAATTTTTATTTTCTCTGCTCTTAGTTCCTTTGTTTTTCTCTTCTTGTGTTCTTTTAGTATATTGAAGTATCTTTTCTTTTCTCTTTCTCTCACTTGTACCTTTTACTGCTTTCTTGACTCTTATTTCTTCATATAGTTTGGATAAATATGCAGTAAATATAACCTTTACCTTGACACATGAATTAATAATACCTATTATTAATTAATATTACAGTGCTTCATACCTAACATAAAAGCCTAAACCTAAGACAAGGTAAATCTCTTTATACCCTCAGCTAGCCTCTGTGCTATGATATCTATATGTTCTGGTTTTGCATGTGAATCCCACAATAAATTGACTTTTAACAGTCAACTTGCTTTAATTTTTTTTTTCTAATCAAAGGAAAACTGCAGTCCATTTCCTTCTGGTGTCTTTAGATAAGGTGCTAGGGAATCATTTCCTTGCCAAAGGGAGGGGAATTTTTTTTATAGGACCTCATTGTCTAGCCTTAACTGTCCTGGAACTCTCTATGTAGACCAGGCTGACCTCAAACTCAGAGATTCACCGGCCACTGTCCCCCTTTGCTGGGGTTAGAGTGAGTCTCTATACCCAGGAGAAATTTTTATTTTTAAAATCCTTTTCAGGACAAACCATCAGAGAGGTCATATCCAACGTATAGGCCAAGAACATTGAGACTTGCAGTCATTAACGAAAGAAAAGCCCTCCCACGTGACATTCAGGTGCCTCTGCGTTTCTTGTAGACGTCACCGGTGGCAGGGTATTCTCTCTTTTACAGGATCTCCACTGCAGCAGCCCTGAAGAAGCTCTTAAGTCCTTTCATGCAGATAAAGAAGAATTCCCAAGGATACATAGCTAGCTTCTTGTACAGAAAGGACTCAGTTCCTTGAGCTCTGGCCTCACTGTATGTTCACAGACAGATGGACCGGGGGGGGGGGGTCCCCACGCTCTGCGCCCCTGGCCTAAGTCCCCTTCCAAGGGCACGGACCCTGAAGTTCTGGCAACTGGTTTAAGCCCGTGTCTGCCATTCATTGACTCTGCAACTTGGGGGATATGCATAATCCTCCCGAGTCTGTCTCCTTGTCTAATAACTCGTCAGAGGGTCACTGCTTGTTACATAGGGCTTATGGTTCTCTGCATTGCAGTGTAACAGTAAACGGTAATCGAAAAGCACCACAGGGTTTTCCTCTGCATGGGTCCAGAAGCTGCAGTTAAGACTTATGCTAATACTTTTTTAAGTTGATTCGGGATGTTGGCAGAGTTCTGTTCCCTGGGTTAATTGGACTTAGGTCCCTGTCTTTAGTAGATATCACCTGGAGATCACTCTTCGTAACTAGAAGCTGGCTGGCTTCATTCCCTGCCTTGTAGCCCCTCCATCTTTAAGCCTGCCACAGTACATCAACTCCTCCTTGTATTTCCAGTCTCTAACTTGTGTCCCCAACTTGTCAGTTAATAACCCTTTCATATGTTCATCTGTACCGTAAAAGAAAACCTAATTGCTGGAGTGAAGCTAATTGTTTTCAATATCTCAGAAGTTACAGGGAGCATAGAATCTTAGAGTTCTACCTGCTGTTTGAGGTAATGTACTGCTGTCTGTCGGTGCCTGGCATGTGGTGAACATGAGCTAGGTGGCAACTATCAGTGCGCTTCC